ACCGTTCTTGTGATCATCTTGACCCCACGGGGTGAGATCTTGCGTGGAGCCCCAGATCGAGGGAGATTATCAGTGGTCTTGTATGTCTTCCATTTTTTAATAATTGCTCCCACAGTGGATTTCTTCACACCAAGCTGCTTACCTATTGCAGATTCAGTCTTCCCAGCCTGGTGCAGGTCTACAATTTTGTTTCTGGTGTCCTTTGACAGCTCTTTGGTCTTGGCCATAGTGGAGTTTGGAGTGTGACTGTTTGAGGTTGTGGACAGGTGTCTTTTATACTGATAACGAGTTCAAACAGGTGCCGTTAATACAGTTAACAAGTGGAGGACAGAGGAGGCTCTTAAAGAAGAAGTTACAGGTCTGTGAGAGCCAGACATCTTGTTTGTTTGTAGGTGACCAAATACTTATTTTCCACCATAATTTGCAAATAAATTCTTTAAAAATCAGAAAATGTGATTTTCTGGATTTTTTTTTCTCATTCTGTCTCTCATAGTTGAGGTATACCTAGGATGAAAATTACAGGTCTCTCATCTTTTTAAGTGGGAGAACTTGCACAATTGGTGGCTGACTAAATACTTTTTTGCCCCACTGTATATTATTTAAATGATTATATGAGCATTTGATACGACACCTATGTGTAGATTATGTTTATGATTTTAGCACTGTTCAAGTTATTCTGATGGCAAACCGTGTTTATAGAAAACCGACTGCAGTGACACTGATCATAAGAGTACAAAAAGTCATTGTTGTGTGAGAATGTATTATCAGAGGTATTAAATGAAATACCATAATGATTTCCCTCACCTTGGGATCTTCACAGTTTCCCTCCAAGCTGATGCCACAACTCATGACCAGCGTCTTGTACACCTGGATGATGTCCCACGTGACGACCACACCTCCTGTTGGAGCGGTAGGCGTCCTGCTCAGACCGGCCTTCACCTGCTGCAGCCTCTCACTCACTGGCAAATCATCATCCAGAGGGGGAGGGGCCAGACTCGCGCTCAAACCTGAGGTGGAAAAGACATCAGAATCAGAATCAAGTTTATTGCCAGGTACATTTACACATTCAAGGAATTTGCTTTGGTGTCTAATGGTGCAAACATACACTTATAAGAAAATAAGTTGTATGTATGTGTGTGTATAATACCTTTGCTCTGCTCTTGCTGCAGAGACACGTAGTAGGCATCTCTTGCCCCCCAGCAGACAGACAGTCCAATCAACACCTGTCCATCCCTATCTATTATTGGAAACCCATCGTCCCTGTGGAGCCTCTGGTTAGCTGCTGATGCTGCACACACAACACAGGCATGGATGAGGACATTGCAAACAGCATGGGCTTTGCTTATAATGTTTAAAATGTATCATGTGTTAGATAACCATGCAAAAACACAAATGCAAGGGAGACTTGTCCAAGCAAAACTAGATATATTCAATCACTGGGTTAGCGCTTGGCAAAAACAGGTATCATATTTAACTGTCAGTTATCAATTACCTCTCTTATGTTTCCCTCCTATTTCCTCCTCAGTTTGATTACTGTGCTCCCTCTTCTCACAGGCCAAAGCCAGAGAGTACCGCTCCTTTGTTTTCCACTCATTGATGAAAGTGTTGAAGAGGCGCCTGTCACTTGCCACGTCTACAATGGAGAAGGCCCCTGAGCTGCTGGAACCGAGCGATGTATCCTGGGACAGCTGAAGTGAAAAGCCTTCATCAGTCACAGGTGATTCAGCATCAGAGGGGAGCTTCCCCCGGGGGGGCGGGGAAGCAGGACCTCCGGGAGGGCTTAGGTTCTGGTCACTGTGTAGCAAGAGTTTTGTTCTAGCCCTCGAGCGTGTAACAGTGTTGGGTTTCTGTCCCCGCTGGTGTCCGTGGGAGCGATCTGATGTAGAGTTAGGCTGTTCAGTGTCAGCTTCTGATCGATTTCTACTGTGTCCCGGGCCAGATGTAGGACATTTTGTGATCACTTGTTTTTGTAGCAGCCGAGTTGATGGAGTCGACTGTTTGATTGGCTTAGCGATGAGAGGTGACTGCACAGATGACGTCGTCATTTTTACTCTTGGTGTGACAGGTGGAGTTTCCTGAGTAGGGGGAATAAGATCACCGGCAGAGCCTGGTCTCTCCGTTACATTCTCACTGTCACGTTCCTCCCGAGAATCATTCTCAGCAACAACGGCTTTTGAATTTGCTCCTTTTCTCTCCACCTGTATTGAGGTCTGAGGTGGATCTGGAACTTCTGCTGTATTTGCAGCATGTTTGAGTGTATGGGTTGTCAGGTGGCCGGTTGTAGTGTTTTGCCAGGGCTGGTCAGACATACTAGGCCAGCGGTCAAAGATGTCTTGCAAACCAGGGCTGCAGTCAAAACAGCTTTCAGGTGCGTTTTGGACTTCTGGGTGATTTAAAACTGCCTTATCGAACAATACAGCATTCATTTCTCCTTTCTTTACGTGTGTCTCTCCTTGCTTCCCATGTTCATTGATCCTTTCCTGTCTCTTGCCTGGTTTATTGTCGCTCTGTGAATAACTATGCTGTTTATTTGTGTGTTTATTGCCTTGATTATTACTGGCGTTTTTCTTGTCATGCTCATTTTGATTTGTGGTAGTAGTTGTAGTAGTGGGTTGTGGCTTTGTCTGACGGAGTTTGGGTTGTGATTCTGACATCTGAACATTGTCTGTGTTGGGTTGCTGAGCTTTCTGACGAGTGGCCCCTTGAGTTCTCTCTGTGTGTTTGAGCAAGCACTGCCTCTCCAGAAAGTGTTCCCCCACCATCAGCGAGTCGCCCCACTCTGACAGGTTGAAGGAGGACTCGCCCCATTGGACCGCCTCCTGATTTTCAGCCTCCTGATTTGCGAGAAGCTCACTGCGTCTCTGCTCCTGGCACGATGGAAGAGGGTTTATGATCTCCTGGCCAACAGGCTCCTCTTCGTCTGATTGGTCGAGAGCAGCCAGCAGAGAGCTGTCGTACAGGCTGTCGAACAGGAAGCTACTGCTCCTGTTAACACTCTCAGAGGCAGCCTCCTCATCGCCGCCTTCATCCTTATCTTCGACTACATTATCCCCCCATGGACCAGGGGAATACTGTAAAAACAATATTTGATTTGTAAACCACTTGAACATGTACATAATATAAGAATAACATAATGGATTATTCTGGATACTCACCTGGTTGCTGGTGTTGAGAATGAGCTCCATTTGACTATCTGTGATAGAAACATTGAATCTTGGACATGCATCAACTGGGGCTTCAACATGTCCCTCATTATTGTCCTGATTGATTTCTACAGCTGTCTTTACCACATCCTCTATCATTTCTGTTTCTACTGTTTGACTCGTACCTCTATCAATCCCATCTCTGTGTTGGAATGCCGCTTGAACAATCATTCTTTCTGTCTGAGTGTCCAATTCAAAGCTGTCACCAAAACTCTCCTCTCCTTTTTTAACATCTCCCTCAGCTTCTCCTGCGTACAGCTCAGGAGATGAAAAGGTATCTACCTCTCCACCATCCATCCTTCTTCGCTTGGCCTCAGGAGAGAATAAGGGAACAGAGGCAGGAGAGACAATGAGGGGATTGTCTAACATATCTGCATCTGAAGGTGAAGAAATACCAGGAGGGGTTTTCTCCGAGGGGTCAGGCACACTAACCGCTGAAGTCACCTGGCCTGCAGGCGCTGAGGGTATTGAGTTCGATGTCTCTGCAGCCGCTACGTTATTTTGTAGGCTTTTGTCAGTTTGTATAGAGTTGAGGACTTTGCTTAAGGCTCTCGAGTGCATCAGTCTACGTGGGTGCACAGGTGAGGCAGCAAGGCCATCTGATGTCCTTACAGGAACGATGTGTTGTTCTTCTACTCGTGATACTGGAGCTCTAAACCGAGGAGGAGGCATAGGGGAGAGAGAGGGCTGAGGACGTAGCGTCGGTAGAGGCAGGGGGCTGGATATGATATCAGCTAGTTCCTGGGTCAGGCTCCTTTCAGGGACAGGACGGTTGGCCTGAGGACTCTCTGGTCTGATTGAGACAATCTCTTTACTCTTCTCTCCTTCTTTTTGCTCGCATTTCTTCTGCTCTTCCCCACCTTGCTTCGGCCTTGTCTGCTTTTGCCTTTCTCTTTTTTCATCTTCTGTATTGTTTGCCGTTAATATTTTGTCATTTGTCTCATCATTTTTTGTACCTTTGCTTCTTTCTACTTGCACTCCATTCATAGTGTTTCTGTTGTCTGTCCTATTTAATTGTCTGTGCTCCTCTGGTTTTCTGTTTACCACCCTGACTTGGAACTTTGACCCCTGCTCTCTTTTGTCTTTTTCTTTTTCTTCCTTCAGTTTGTTTTTCTCCTCACTCTTCTCTCCATGTCTTTCAATATCTCTACTTTTCTCAATCTTGTCTCCTTGCTGGGGACCTTTGTTGTTGTCAACCTGTGCTTCATGTGAGCTCAAAGCTGATGCAGTTGAGGTGTCTGAGTCGTCAGGGCTGTTTACGGCAGGAGCTCCAGGAGGAAGGGTTGTCGGGTCCCACTGAACTCCTAAGCGGGCCAGGTCTTCCTGAAGGAGGAGCCTCGCTTCAGAAACAATCTCAACGGCGGCCTCCTGTTCCGTCAGGGCCCGACCCCCGGTGACCCAGACGCAGCGGAGGCTCCGTCTCTCTGCTGCCTCCACCTCACTCTCATCCACTGCACGCTTAGAGCTGAGGAACAAAGACAGACCGGGAAAAATGTGCTTTTCATCTGGGGTCATGTTTTCACATTGTATTTGCTGTAAAGTGTCCTTACTGTAGGGTATTTTGTATTATATGTACAGCACTTTGGCTGGACCAAAAATCGTTTTAAAATGTATAAATAAAACTTGATTTGATCACCATGACCTGTTCAAAATAAAAGGAGTTGGTGTATTTTAAAATAGTGTTGTCAAGAGTA